CATTCCTGCCTGCAGGCCTTGGTGCCAGAGAGAAGTCCCAGGCACATTTAATTTTCTAGCATACTACCACAGTCTTGGGAGTCTGGGCATACAACAGCATCTAAAGCAATGGACCTCGACCTATGGACCCTATCCTTACAGTCTGCATTTAAGGCAAGGAAGAGCTGGCAGAAACAGAGATCAAAGAAGAATGCAACAGTAAGACAAGGTGTTGTGACACTTGGGTTGCCTAATCATTGTCAGAAGTTCGAGGAAGAAGAGAGGCAAACAGATGATATTTAGTATACGTCACCTAAGTTCAAGACAGCCAACAGAACTAGTTTTTGATGTTAATCATACTAAGGACTGATTAACTACATGAAAGTTTATGACTTTGCCGCATTTCTTACTCTATGTTTCTCCCTCATACTGGGCAATTTGTTTGAGCTTCAGAACTAGTCTCTCTCATGTTTCAAGCTCTGGTGCTTCCAAAATGCCATTGCTCTTGCACCTGAAGTTTTCTCCCCGTCTCTGTGCACCCGTTTGGAGAAGGTCTATCAACAATGTAAAAACATACCGAAGGCAGGGACGCGCTCCACTTCAGTCGAGCAGATGTTCTCCTCATGTGCCCATCTGCCATAGGTGGCAGAGTAGATGATAAGGAACTTGGACTCCTGACAGTGGAGTTTCAGCTCCTGGTTTTCACATGCTGATTTGGTTTTGTATTCAGCTAAAAGAGAAGCAAATAACAATATGGTAGCATGAGGCAATTTACTTGGCTGGACTGTTAATAGCAAATAGCAGCATGACAGAAAACAGCTTTTTCTGCAAGTTCTGTTGTGAGTGATATGTGGCACTATTACAACCAGAGACAAAGCCGATAGCAAAGCGGAGTGTTTCCTCCGACTGAATTGCTCCCATATGACTATCTAAAGCCTCCAGCTCCTTTTTGAAAGGAATTAAAAAGTTAACTTTTGCCAATCTCCTCTCCCAGTGGAACAGCCTCCCCCCTTCCCGCCCGATTTCCTGGCTTGCTTTTCCATGAGGAGAAGCCTCATCCTTTCCTTTTGTCTCTCCCCGGGACAATGGTGCATTCTACGCCTACTTCAGACGCCCGCCTGAGTGCTGAGAGCCTCCGACCACTCATCAATCATGGGGATGGCTGGCATCGCCCAGTGCCACCGCATACAGCACGGAGCGAGCGCCGAAGAATGGGAGGCACAAAGGCATGGGGACGGGCTACGTAGCCTGAGCCAGACAGCGCTCTCAGCTATATTTGCATGGCTCCACCGAGGTCAGTGGGTTTCCCTGGGCGTGACTATCCAGCACGGGCTCATTTGACAGTTTTTCCTGACAAAGCCATGTGAATCAGGAGCCTGAGAAAAATACACCCCCTCCCTTTCTGAGCTGGCAGAGGCACACTGGCAGTGCTGTCAGCACCGAGGTGGGGAAGCCAGCGAGATCGTCTTCCAGACAGCGTGGTTTATCCCTCCTAGGGAACTGCTTAAAATCTGCCATCTGGCCAAGGAGGTCTCTTGCTGGCCTAAACAGCTGCTCTGCTTGCAGCATTTTACCACTCGAGTCTTCCTGTTCTAGGTATGGTGGCAAACCTTTTTACTGCAGATAAGGCCAGGGAGAAGAGTTTATTCTGCTCCATTTTTTTGTCCTTCAAAAATGTGAAAACAGGAAAAGGAGGTTCCTGAGCTGAGCAGGAGAAAAGGGAAACCTTATTGTTGCTGCATGGTATCCCTGTGAGTGGAGCGTGGGTGTTGGTGCTAGGGGAACTGGAGAGAGAAAAACCTCCTATCTATTCAATAAAGAAAACATTATTGTTTCATTTAGAATAGAACAGATTAAAAAAGTGGTTAATGTTCTTGGTAACAGACCAGTTTCTTCCATTCAAGCTCATCAGCAGTCACAAGTTTAAGTCTAAAAAGAGTGATTTTAAAAAATACTTGACCTGCTGCAGACTGTTACTTCTGCAGAAGCACCTGCCATATCGTACACCCGTAAGGATCACGCCAAGAAAACAGAGGCTCTGACCCAAGGGCTGACAGCCTAAAGCGGGGCTCTGTGTCTGTACGGCTGCGCCCCATGGTTGCTGAAGAGGCTATGGAAGTACAGACAACAGGAAAAAACCCACAAGTGGTAGAAGACAAAGGTAAGAATACAACAGAGACCTCTGCAGAGATGCAGCAACAGAGGAGAACACAGTATTTCTAAACAGATGAAAAACTAAGGGACTCAGGCAATTGCTTAAGTCCCCACTTGAAGGCAAGGAGATTGTAAAATATACTTAAAGTTATACTCAAGTGATTTCCTGAGTAAGGATGTTTTCCACAGCCAAGCCTAACAATATTGGTATCTTACCCACAAATATAAATTTCCTGTCACATGAAATCATGTAATTTGCACTGGAACTGGACTATTCCTCAGTTCTCAACACAGCACTTGCTGTCAAATACACTTTTCACTAGCTTTTGCAAAATCCACATCACGGAGAACATTATATAGTAAAAGTAGCTCATTTACAGTGGCAAAAATATTAAGCAGCTTGTAAAAGTAACAAACAGGATCTCAATCCACTTTAGATTAGTAAAAAGAGATTTCAAATGACACAGACACAGCTATGATATTCAAATTCATCTACTATTAATAATGCAGTAATTGTAATATGTAAAAAAAAAAAACTTTAAACTTTAAAATAATAAAACAGATCATAAAAATGTTAAATTTCAGACATTTTTTTCCCCTGATGATTGGCCCAGTCCATCTCCCTGGGAGTTCTTGTGTCAGTGCTTTGCCAAAGGTAACACCTGCCTACTCCATTTCCATATCTCTGCTCCGACTTCAATATTCTGCATAAATTGGCCCTTCAGCTTGCTTGCCACCCCTGTTCCTATTCCACCAAACATGTCTATCTTAATGCTCTGATTAAAGAAAATCTCTTTTGTGCTTTCTCCTTTAGTTGTGGGATGGTATTTCTGAGTTGACTGGTGAACCTACCCATAAATCATCATTCAACTATTTTCTTTGGGACCCGTTTCAGCCACACTGGGGATCAGCTGCCAAAAAAAGCTGAGCCCGCGGGCTACTGGGGCTTGTTCTCACATACAATAGCAGCAAGAATAACAATTAAAAAACACCAATAAATGAAACCTCATGATGATTGTCTTAATCTTTCTTACCCTTTTCTCATGTTTACAAAGTGCATTCTCTTTGAGGCAGGATTTGTCCCTTTACATACCAACGTCAATTACCTGCGTAGAATACAGATGGTTCTACAATGAAATTCTGTAATAAAGTTAGCCACTCATGTGTATCCTCCAGCCATTTTTCTATAAATAGGAGGTAGTAACAGAGGATCTTTGAAAGCTTTGGTCCTACCTCCTTAAGCGTTTTTGCATATTCCTTATTATCATATCTTTTTCATCATTTGGATCCTTAGCCCAAGCATCTGTTTTGCTGTTCAGCTCTGTCTTTCTAATATGACATTATCATTGCCATCTCTTCGAAAATAATTTCCAAAACATTCTTCCTTTATAGTCTCATGTTTGACATCTGACCCTGCCAAACTACACTGGTCATTAAGTTGGCAGCAAGCACACTGAAGTTGTAAACACAATGGAGAGCTAAGGTAAAGCAGAAAAAACCAATTTGCTATTAATCTAAGAGTCTCAAAACTTCACATGGATTTATGCAAAGCCTTGTGCAGTGGCATTTGAACCAAAACAAACAACGAAACACACACAAAAACACAATTGCCTGATATGGATTACTTACTAGGTTTGCATTTAAAGGAGACAAGGAGGAATTTAGTGGTCCCTGGACACAGATCAGGTCCAAAAACCCGACTATTGACAAGGAGTTGGCAGGATCTCAGGTTTTGGCATTCATCCAGCACTTTCTAGAACAACGGGCAAAAAGGATAGGCTTGAAAACAAGGTATGAAGGTATACAGCAATGAGAACACTTAGTTGTACTTTCTTCTATACAGGAGAGAAATCATTCCTTCACAACTTTTTGGTTATAAACATGTAAGAAGCATGTGTATCACTGCATTTAAGCCACAACTCTACTGGACTTTGATTCACGGCCAAGTTTATGGGAACACATCCATCACAGCGATGCCCATGGCAACTTAGGATGTTACCAATTTGCTGTTGCTTGTCACTTTTTCCTCTGCCCCCAGCCAGTCGGCCAGACCTCGCTGTGTGCCACCACAGCCTCCGTGGCGCTTGGGACTCTGCAGAGCCCGGAGCAAGTGGGAACACGCTCAGCCCCCAGCCTCTTCACTGACGTGCCCGAGGCACTCACCCACTCCTGATAGCGTTTATGGGAGTGCAATGTCCAGGTGAAGCACGGTAACTCAAAGAGATGTCTTTTTAACCATTTCATCTCAATCTACTTAAGTTTACCTGATCACACTCTCTAATATCTTCACTTGAAAGAGTTCTAACTAATGACTTGGTGTGTTTAGTGACACTGAGGCACAACTCTATCTTTAAGCCGTATGTAGGACCTGCTTAAGGGGCACTTACTTCTTGCTTGCAGTTACACACATTATCAGGTGTTGACTTGCCACTTGAACAAATTTCAGAATTGGTTTGATGAGATAACACAGATGTGCCTGTCTATTCTAAGCCTGCTTGTCTTTTTTTTTTTTTTTTTTTAAAATGCTCTTTGAAGGTTCTATCTACCCCAGATTCTTTAGCCTGGCAAAATATCATGGTTCTTACTGTGCTGTTTCACTGGGAGTGGCATCAGGAGGAGGACAATAAAAAAGTCAGAAGTGTTATACGCAAAAGGTCATGTGGACCGTCTCCACGTTCAGAAAAAGGACTGAGTACTCCTAGTTCTCACGTTGGTGTTCCCACTTCATCAGTGGTTTCGGAGCTGTAGCTATAGCAAATACAAAGACATTGCCCAAGATGAGTCTGAGTCCAGTTTTTAACTCAGTCACAAGCCAAAGCACCTAAAAAAACCCAGTTCAAATGCAGCAGTGTACTTATGAAATTCTTATTCGCCTTCAAAGCCCAGTTTAGAGAGGGTTTTCTATACGCTATTTTTGGATAGTCTGTGGTGTTGTGCCCAGGATTCCTGATGTTTAAAATCACAGCAGGCTGTGATAACGAGGGCGTTGTCTCCGGGTCAGATATTCTTAATAGGAGTAACTGTAAGATACCATTCTCTGATAGTTTTAGGTACTCCCGTAAAATCTATGGGAATTTTTGCCTTGTTTCTCATCAGAAGGGGTCTCAGTCATACCAAGAGGCCAAATCACAAATTTACCACTGTGATAGCACAAGCTGCACTCTTGTTTCCAGGCTGAGAGAGCTGGCAGTGGCTGAATCTCTCCTGTCATCCCTGGAAGCCATCCCTCCCAAGCAGAAATGATACACATTGGCAGCACATTGCAGCGGTCCTATAACACTCTTGCCTTTTTGTTCCCTTTGGTAGAAGAGGACTTGCATCCAACAGTTTTTGAGCATTAAGTGCACTCTGAAGAGTTTAAAAGGGAAGGAAAAGCACAGCAGACTTAATTTTATCAGTCAATTCTTCTTTTACAGAGTTGTAAGTCAAACAAATAACTCTTCCTTAATTGGGATGGTTCTGGAACAGGCCAGTGAAAGAGAGTTACGTCTTTAATAAGTGGAGACAGCTGTCCCCTACTGAGTCACCTTCTGCTTGCACCTGAGCTGAATCATCTCCTGTGCATCTATTTGTATTTTCTCCTATTTAATGCAAACAGCAGTCGCATTTTCTATCATGTTGCTGTGCAAAAACACGCAACCACAAAAGCAAACAATGATACTCGTAATGAGATAGCAGTGGGCTGTTAATATCCTGAGACAGATCTAACTTTGCAGTGATCCTTTTAATAGGAGGTCACTGTAAAAAATGCCTGTTATGCTTCCTCCCGGCTGCAGGGTAGCATCATGCCCAATTATGCAGACTGCAGATGCAGTTCCAAAGGGAAGGGGAGGAGGGATGAGATCACTGGTGCTCTTTTCTAAGAAATCAGTTTACAGGATCTGTCTCTTCTCCTTGACAGAACTGGAACTCCCTGAGATGCAGAGCATTCGTATCTCTCGCGTTCATGGCCTCGTCAAAATGCTTTCATGCCTTTGATCAGTGACAGTGCCTGAACGATGATGATAGTTTATACAACAGTTATCCCATGCTGTGTTTATTATCTTCAGGGGAAAAAATGCCCATGGAGACCTCACAAAGGCACTCAAAAGCCCAAAATAATCACTGGTGTCACCTCACTGTAGTCAGTAAAATGACATCAAGGATGCATCTGGCCTACTGTTTTTGGTGGAGAGATGTACTTTCACATGGCCCATAGGTCACATCTGGAATTTCTTTAGAAGCTGCAGTACAGGATGGGCAAGCCACACTTATAAAACTGCCCTAATATTGTTTCTGGAGACAGGATATTACCGCCAAACCACTCTGTGAAACTCTTCAGCTCGCTAGTGGTGGGAACAGACATTCCCTGTTGTCAAGAAGCAATGTTGTTGGCTGCAAGCACAAATGTTGCAACCTTCATCAAAGCTTCCGTAGAGCATTTACAACAGCTTCACCAACAGAACATGTTGAGATTCCACTGACTCCTCATTTTTGCAACGATTTACTGAATTTGGCCTAACACTGAGCATGTTCACTATGATGAAACAAGCCTTTGACAGCAGTGTAAGTCAGATCTTCTAAGCCTCGTTACAAAAGTCTCCACAGCAGAAAGTAGTAATTTATGGAGTACAAATCATTTTAAGCTATACTTAAGCAGGCCCAGCAAACAAACCATAGGATATTACTGATACAAATCATGTATTCATAGAAATGCAGATATCCACAGAAGTGCTTAGGATCTGCTGTTTAGCTGTCATGGTGCCTTTTCAGTGAGTGAAGATAGGCATGGAACAAGCCAAATGCCAACCAGAATGCCATCTTCTTCAGTGGATTTGTAACCCACCTCTGTCCAATGTTTGTATCCTCTCCTGGGGACAAAGAGAGCCTGCGTGATGGATTAAGACTGGTCTGCTCAGTCATGACCAGCCCTTGATTAGAAGGGAATTGATTATTTTAGGGAACTTTGAGAATGGGGTTTCCAAAGTAAGGTTCATCAAAACAGAAGGCCATCTACAAAGCTTTCACAATCCTATGGTAATATCCTGCTGGCCAGACAAATCCTTTCAGCTGTAATACTTTTGATGGTAAACTGACATAGACATGACGTCATTTCATTCAACATTGTGAACACTGCTGTTTTCATGCAGCATAGCTCACCGCACGGAAACCGTCAAAAACATTCTGTGCATTAAGAACCTTTACAACGTGCAATACCTGCAAAGAGGTGGGTGCCACACAGTTTATGGGTTCTGTCATCCTGGTTTCAGGCTCCTGAGTACTACACATGTGGTAGTCGTGCCCGTAAAATGCTGACTGAACACTTATTGTTGAATGCCGAGGACAGCGCAGACTCAAATGCTCCCCATCGCAGGCATAGGCAGTATGATTTTGCAGAAGTTTGGTTAGGTAACCTAGAAAATATTCAGCTCTGTTACAACTAGTACAGGAAATGACAAGCTCGTTAGATAATAAGAAAACCACAATCAGTCTCTGGAAAGGGCACTGTAGTCAAGGTTATACGTATGGCCTGCTGCCACACCACATGGTTCTGTGAATGGGTTAACCTTTACATGCTAGTAACGCTCAGGTCTGGAAAACAAGAGGTCGCGTGGCAGTGAGTCAGAGCCCTACCAGCACTCCAGCAGCGGCACTATGTCGGAGACGTCATTTCACAGACGATAAATGGGCTCAGGCCCTTGCCAGTCGTGGTTGCCAGCAATCCCCGGGCATGTTTGCAGAAATCGGAAGGGCTATTACTTCGCTTTGCCGGCTGGACTCTTGCATTCTAGCTGGCTAAGGTACTCCTCACACCTCATCTTAAACTGATGTGTTTCACACAAGTGATAATAAAAGTGATTCCCTCTGTATCACTGAATCGGATATTAGGACAACAGAAGAAAGGTGGTCCATAAGTGCTGGACGCCGTAGGTGCTGGACAGAAACCAAGAAGTAAGATACATAGAATTTTGTATTTGCTAGAGAGTTTGTCGGTGTTACCAGAAGAGGGAGAGGTAGGATGCGTACACAGCTGTCCACCTGTACCCTCCATCTGCATCTTCTAATAAGTCCATGAGCAGCAGAGCTAATGACAGCTGTTTTCCTGATTTGTATTTCATCGTGTATAGTCTCTTTAGCTAAGATTTCTGTTATCACTACAAATATTAATAAATTTAATCTCCTACTCCCCTTCTCTCTGTTCTGCAGAATACTTTAATGGAAACATGCAGGCTGCTACCTTTGACCATTACAAATTAGCCATTGTGATGGGAAACCATGAGGGGTCATTTAAATCGAAGACCTTCCTCACCTATACTTATGAAGCCTTGATATCTCTACCACGCTGTCACACTTGATTGAAATCTATCTTTAAGCAGAAAAGGTTTGTGGGTGAAGGAGAAGAAGAGGCGTAAGGGACAGGAGAGAGAAAGGATACAAAATACCAGTACACAAATGAAGCAGTATCTTTCCTCATCCCTCATCCGTAAACATATGGAAATTAGACCCCAAACCACTTTTTTCCCCATGACTTTTATGACAACCCAATGTACTACAATCAAAGCAAATCTGTTTTCTAATTCTTCCACTATTAGCCAAACTTTTTATTAATGTGCATACGATAGCTATATTTGAATAGTTTCCTTATTCCTATGCATGCATTAAATTCTGTACAGTTCTCTGTAAAATCAATTCTAAACTTCTAGAACACCAAGTTCATCCACATTCACATCAAAAAACCCAAACAAAATTATCCAAACCCAATATATTAAATAATGAGAAAGCACTAAGAGCTTCCACTGATTTATTTGAGAAAAGATTTGTAGAAGTTTTAAAACTGAGACCATGACTACATACCTATCTTTTTAATTTCAAAAATTAATTTTCCTATCTTTGCCTCTTTTCCAAACATATAATTGGTCTAATTAAAGACAAAACCTAGCATCTTCTCCTCAGAAGCCTTGCTTACCCCGCTGTGGTGACAGTAACATTATTACTGTTAAGTATAATAGAGAAAAAAAAACAAACCCTATTTTCTTTTTTGGTGGCTGAATCAGAACTAGAATGGCAAGGTTTTTTGTATCATTAAAACAAAAATTAGTTTTCTCAAAGAAAATATTGAAAAAGAGTTTGCTCACACCATTTAATTTTTCACACTTTTTGCCCTTTTTAAACCTTTCACCAAAGATGAGCAATTTAAGAAAAGGGTTTTAAATAGAAATTTAAGTATGATATGAAAATAAAATATTTCGGTTCTCTGGCATCTTTTCCAGCTCCAGCTGTGCAACTGGATAGGAAAATTTAGCTCCCCTATCAGTTACTAAGTCTGGAGAAAGGAGAAGCCTGCTCCGCTGTTGTCTTTGCTGCTCCTCATCTAGAGCCCAAGAGAGGAGTCAGCTAGATGCACCTTCCAGTGCAGCAAAGATGTAGGTGAGTTCCTCACCTCATTGAACTCAGTCTGGGCACCGGCACTAAACTCAGGACAGAGAGAATTTCATGCCCTGTATTTGCAGTCTAGATCTCAGGGAGACCAGCCCAGCAGAAATCCCCGTAGCTTCTCACAGGCTAAAAAACAAAACAAAACAAAAAACAACAAATCTCTCTCCTACATTTTCTGTGTAATTGAGATCACAAATAATTGAGCTTCCCTGCCAGAGCCGCTCCTCTGTCAGCCTGCTCCTGAAAGGCGCTGAGTAGTGCCAGGAAAACGGGCCGAATGCCCAATTGCACCCAAGCGACTTCGCTACGGTCCGATACTGCACAGGGGCCTCCAGTGGCATTTACCGCCACTGAACGCCTTTGACATTGCCATCATAGCATAAAGGGACACAGTGTAAGAGTATTCAGTCCAACGTGAGCTGTGGGCACTCAACACCTTGAAAGATTTAGCCCGATATTTGTAATCATTTCAGTTTCTTCAGGTTTTAAGTTACTTGGAGCCGAGAGTGCTGTATACAAAACAGCCCAGTATTCCCTAAAGAATATCAGCTATGTTGTGATTTGGATGAGTTCCCTGGCATCTTAACTGCTACTTTGATCCTGCAAATTCCTAATCCAGTATCTAAGCTCCTTCCTCCAACAATTGCAACTATTCAATCCTTAAAAAAAATGCTTTTATAAAAAACTTGCTCTGATTCTGTATAAGCAATATGGTTCACTTGTAAAATAGCGTTAGATGGAGTGGGGAAAATAAGACAACATGCTCTCCGGCCTTCCAAGTGGCGTTTAAAGTGACTCTGCTGTTATTAAAATCCTTGTGTATTTGCACACAATAAAGGATAAAAATAGTAATGGAAATTGGCTGAAACCTAATGTTCTCTGATAAGAGAAGTGGTGACGTACTAGTATCTCAATTGCTCGCCTCACACGGCAGACCACATAAACCTGCATTTTTTATTACTATACACACAGACTACGTACACACAGGTGGAGAGAGCGGTGTCGACTGGGCAGCTCACAGCCCTCGCCGAGAAAGAATTCCCGCTCGAAAAGTCACGATTTCCTCTTGCTCTTCCCTGAAAAACTCCAGCTTCTTTCCTCTCCTTATGCTGGCCCCCTTCACGTACCGGGGCGCTGCCTGCCCTGCACTCGGCAAGGGAATAAAGCGTCCTCAGCAGCTGCCGCCTCTCACCTGGGTCCTCGAGTGGTGCTTGCACGGGAGGGAGCAGTTCCCAAGCTGCCTTCCCTCCTTTCCTGGGCAGCGTGGCCTTGTAGTCGCCCTGCTAGAAAGCTTCATCTTCTTGAGACCATGAGTATCCCTATATTGTTTACCAAATTCTGTACTGGAACACACTTCCCTCAAGGCAGCAAATTTAGCCGAATGACAACGTAAGGTTAGAGGAAAAATATGTTCTTATCTCTACAATTAATAACAGCTGTGATTATCAGGAGAGAGGGCATTGTAACAGTCGAATGGGTCTGTCATTCCTTCTGAGGCACGCTTCCTTTTCTGCGTTTCTCTCAACTGGCGCAATTAAATCAGGTCACCCAAAAGAGACAGCAGGGCTGCGTCACCATCCAAATCAGACAGCAGGATTGTGTCACTTTCAGGCATCGTCCCAGCACATCGCCTGGGCTACAGGCACTTCAGGGCGCTATCCGTTGTTCAGCATCCCTCGGTTTGTATTTGTTTAATTAATCCGTATCTGTTAGTTGTGAATTCTGAGAACATTTTTTTTTTTTTTAAATACCTAATATGGGAGCTAGAGGCTGTGTCTGGACTACAACACATCTCTAAGCCCTGATCCCCTGCGTGCTAGGCAAGCACTCGCTAGCTCCTCTCCAGCCAGCACACGAGGAGGTTCCCTTCCCCTGGAAAGCAGGGCACGGGGAGGGCTGGAGCACCAGTCATCTACTGTGAGAACTGTCTAAATTGGAAAAACTTGGCAATACTGCAGTGTCCCAATAACATCTCTATGCCTCTGTGTGAAAGCCCCACCAGGAGCTTTCCCATTTATCCAAGACACACATTCATAAGCAATGTATGGGGTGCTCTGCATACAAAATCACATACAAGATGTTACAGACTGGCTCAGAAGTTAAGCCTGAATCATACGGCAATAAACAGATCCCATTGATCTGAAGGCCAGAAGGTATCATCCCACCCAACTGTCTGCATAACCCAGACTACTCACTCATTGTAACTCCTTACTGAGACTCAAAACACCAATGCAGAATCCAAGCGTAATCCTTTCTTCCAGAATTAGCCAAATTAGTCACAGCATCCACTGTGTTGACAAAGAACTTCAGCTAAAAACATAGCACCAGAAAAACACACAATACACAGAGGCTGAGCAGCCGAACAAAGCTTTAGGCCTTACTGATCACTTCTTGTTGCAGAGGAGGACTGATAAACTGTGATAGCAATGACAGACAAAAATAACTGGCGAAGAGCGTAAAGGTTGGCAATAGATACCTCTTTGTGTGAAACAGAGCTCTTAAAAGGTTATAGTTTTTATACTCAACATTTGCTCCTGGCATTATTGCTTTGAATAGCAACAATAATGGTAGCAATGAACCTGAAGGTACGAAAATCCAGAAAGATTTTTTTTTCTCTTAAAAACACTGAAAAACTGGGAACTTAGAAAGTTTCAGTTTAAAAACATATGACTACCAAAAAGCCTGGAAGCGGTCAGCCAAGAGATGTTACGTCTCCCATGTATGGCACAAGACCGTACAGGGTACTCAGATTTGCTGGATTCATTCCTTATGGTAGAGGATGCTAACACAAGGCCTTAAGGCCCTTTTTCAGTTGTCAGCATTAGAGTAAAAAAGAAATGTGTATATTCTGTCCAGCCTCGCTGCACTGGCATGAACCTCACCATATGGAAGCATCAAGGAGAACAGCATTTCAAGCTGTGAGTCTAATGCCTGGCACATATTAAATGCAATCTCAGCGTTGACTGATGTAATGTCTTTTTGGCAAGAGAGCAGCTTTGCAATGTAATATTTTTAGAGCCTGAAGCCAAGTAGCATGCAGCCTACGAGGATTCTCAGAAGCAGGCCTTCATATACAGATTTAGTAATATTAGTTCCTGTGCATCGTTCAATCTAGCTTAATTAGCACAGCAATTTGCTAGCTTGTTTTAAAGACATACAAATCCATTTTAGATCAAAATAGATTGAAATAGCACACATATTGTTGTGGGAGTCCCAGAAGGCTAATCGATTCGGTAAATCTACATCAGCTCCCGCAGTTTTATGAAGAATTGTGCCAACAGCCATTAAAAATACACAAGCAAGACTGGCAAGTTTGAAGGAAGAGATATCATGCGGTGATAACAGAATTGTTGATAAACTCTACTACACACACCATTAGAAGCATCGATCTGATATTTATTGGTATTTGGGATCCAGCTGCAGTTACTTCTCCAGCAATATCTTCTCCATTGGTTTGTGAAGGAAGCGTTGAAGAGAAATTAACCCCTAAGTTTCCTCCCCGATCCCTTCTGCCATACCCTCCACTGGTCTTTAGAGGCAGCTATGCCCCAGACCATGCTGTTCAGGGTTACTGCATAATCCCTGCTTTCAGAGCCGGGCTGTGTGTGTGGATATGACAGTGCCTATTTGGCTCTGGTCACAGAAGCAAGGATCTGCCTCTCATAACTCTCTTTAGTCTCTC